GAGAAATCCATGAACAAAGTGTTACAAATCTTCCCCAAGAGGGGTACAAGGGATCAGTGGTTTCTGGGATGGGGATGGCGCCATTGAGAAAGCCCGTCTTGTTTTTAGAAATAAGGGCCATTCAGAAGGAACAGACCATGACTTGGAAAATGTTGGCAGAGAGAGGTGGAGAAACCACAACAGATGAGGGCTCCTCACTTGAGTGTATGTAGAAGAGGCTTTGAAGGATTTCCTGTTAGGATCAACAAAGGGAGGAGGAGGTGGAATGTCTTCATCCTCATTTCTAGAGGAGCCTGATCGGCCATGAGAGAGGTAAGCTAGAAAAAGTTTTAACCTTTAGAGGGCTCTTGATACCATAACAGAAAATAGAAGAAAAGGCAATTTGCATAAATTTCAGTCTATTGATTCTCAATTATTACAGCATATATATAGTTTGTACAAAAAGAATAGGTGTGACCTAAAACCTTGGAGGATAAAGGCATATTTTGTACTATCTATTGACAGCTCATTATTACTTTAGAATGTTCACTAAAATAACAGAAATGAAATAATAAAAAAGATTCTTCTGTTGTGCTGCCATTATGTTATGCTAATTATGTGGTGTTTAAACCTGAATTATAAGGCTCTTCTATTAAAACTCTCAAACTAATCTTGCTTTGTCTTTTTTGGAATCCTAATACTCATCAATCCAAAAATAACAATCGATTTTCAAATTGGTGGTCGTTCTTCTTCACGCAACAATCCTCGTTAGAACTCTTACAATAAGAGGTCTTATGGTTTCAAGACCAACACTAAAGGTTTCTGGTCTTTATCTTCCAGTTCCAACTATCTATACTGACAATCTGGGTGTTGTCCTCCTTGCTGCTAATCCTGTAATGCACACTTGCTTATTTCGAGCTTGATCTACATTTCGTGAGCGATAAAGTTCAACAAAACTCCTTCATCTTCTTTCAACTCTTTTTCAAGTTGTTGACTTGCTCACAAAACTTTTTTTCTGGTGCCTCCTTTCTTAAGTTCAGAGACAAACTTATGGTTATAAAATTGTACTATATGGTGTGGACGATCGGTACCAGGCATTGTGGACGATCTAACGAAGGCGACCAACACAACAAGAAATAACCGATCGGTAGGCAGTTAATCGCATTAATATGCAATAAAGGTAAGTAATTCCTATATCGCGCGAAGGACATTTATAACTAATTAATGAGTAGTATCAAGCACATTATGCTGAATATAAGGAGGTTAGCGAATGATTAGGCACATGATGTGTGGCATTAAAGGGGCATTTAATGACGCCCAATGGGTCGGATAATTACAAAGCCTATAAATACAACACTGATAACCAGGTACATTTGATTTTTCTGAGATTATTGAAGACCTTGGAGGACACCCCACTAACTTGAGCGTCAGAGTGTTTTCTTGCAGGTCACACCCTGTTGAACCGATCGGAGGAGGAGATTCGAACCCTTAACCGTACACCGGAAGAGAGGAGACACGTGGAGCAAAGACCTCGGGCCCGCATTAAACATAAACATTTCACACCCTGTTGAACCGATCGGAGGAGGAGATTCGAACCCTTAACCGTACATCAAAAGAGAGGAGACACGTGAAGCAGAGACACGTGAAGCAAAGACCTCGGACCCGCATTAAACATAAACAAAAACCAAGCCCAGCATAAGTTTGAGTTTGTGGGGGAATGTTAGGTAAACCCTTCCCATGCACTCCCATACAAAATATTCTAGCTGTATATTTTTTTTGTTTACCACTTTCTTTATATAAAACTTAGTCATGTGCTTCTTCAATAATAAAATACAAAAATCTTTCTTCCATGTTGCTTCTCTAATAACCTCACCGTAACAAACATTACAATGATTAATTTTTCATGTTTTTATTAAATCTTTTTCACATTCTTGTAACGTTTTATTCTATTACATGATCATAAGAAACCTTTAAACTTTCTTATTTTTCAATTGTTATTTTTTTTAAACGTTTAACTTAATCATGTTTTAGTCTCCACTGTTTTAAAACTCATTTTTTTTAACTGTTTGCATATTTATTGTTGTTTCGATATTTAAGTTGATATAATGTTCCTTGTTTGAATCATATTGCATTCTGAAATTGAAAACAAAAGATGTCTATTCATTAAAATGTCCCATGAAAATATTTAATTCCATATCATGTTAATAAATAATTTTTTATTTTTTAGAATAATATTGACAATTTTTTTTTTAAGAATTTTTCATTAAGATTTTTGAAACATGTCTACAACTTCAACATTTTTAATTTACATCTTAGTGTTTGTTGCAACTTCTAAGCACCTAAAATTGGTGGAGTCTATTATGTCCCTTATTAAATTCAATGATTTAAAATTCATAATCAATCATCCAACGAGCTAAGCTTAAAATTTTAATCCAACCTGATATAAAGTGGGTTGGATTGGACAAGCTTTTCATCTTAAAAACAACTCGTTATACATCGTGTTATAACCTTTTGAATATATGCTATTAAAAATAAATATAAAGAATTTGATAATTATATTTATGTGCTACAAAACACTTCAATTAAATTAAATATACTGTCATGAATAAATAAAGTTATGTGATACCAAAGAATAAATAATTATCACAAATTAATAAAACCCAGCTTTATAGAAAAATTAACTTATTTTTTGATTTCAATTGTTTCTATAGTGAAAAAAATAAGTATAGGAATAATCTCTTTTGTGAAAAAATTACATATAAAAATCGTATTTATAATAAAAGTAATATAAACTAAACCCAAATTAGAAATAATGATAGAACAAAATAATGACAGATAAACAGAAGATAAAATATAAATGTTTAATACATCTAACAGTTTCACTTTTCAATAGATTTTAGCTTTTAACTTACTGTTCTGTTTTCTTTTGACAGGATTGAATCAATTTAATAACATCGCCTCAATCGAATTGAATCAGCTTAATAACATTGCCTCAATCAACCAATATTATATTCAAAATATAAATATTCTATATCTAATTTAGAAGTTCACGTAGAAAATATAAAGTCTAATGATGCATTGCCTATGAACGGCAAGACTTTATTTTTGTGATAATTGATTTAAAAACAATATTTATTAGCATAATCTTCAATTGTTACCTTCACAATGCATAAAAAGCAAAGTATTTATCTTGAAACTCATGAATGATTGAAATAAAGCCCATGATGCTACAAAGATTCAAAGCAATCAGCAAGTATCTTAGATACAAGCCTGATGAAAAATATCTTTACTCAAACAATATGGAAGAATGGTGAAGAATTGCTCATTTGACATTTTATCCTTCTGTATACCTCCAAACTAAAGAATTCCAGCTACATTCAAAAACTTCTACTCATTAAAACAGACTTATAGCTAACTGTCAAGTCACAATTAGCACAAACTGAACTACAGGCCTACGGCTTTTATATGAGATGGGCTCAATCAGAACAAACAGCCTCAGTGATCTAGAGAGAACAAAATTTCAAAAAACTTAAACCCGTGTTCCTCATAAAGTGTAGATAGATAAGTGAAGCTGGGCAATCAGGGCCTGAAAGCAGAGAATGCCACCACAGAGTTGTGTCCACCAAATCCAAATGAATTTGAAATAGCTGAAATACAAAAAGAATAAATCATGCTGTTCCAATTATAGCGGACTGTGGAGGAATTGGCTATTGAATTATTTAAAATCTTACCAACATTGACTTCATGCTGCTGCTTGACATTTGCCACTGTATCAAAATCGACTGCGGGTTCTGGGTTCTGCACTCAAGACCAAAGACACATTGTAACTCAAAAATTGAAACAATGCAGCAAGAAAATAAAAACGAATGACACTGTGAATGGGATAATGCAAGGACATCATAATATTTTCATAACTGCTTGCTTGTGCGGGATAATCATAACGACTAAAAACACAAGTGCGCAACTATTTCTGCCCCAACACACCAGTCACGCGGCAACATAAAACAATACTTCCCGACTTTTTAAAACTAGGATGATTGATGATAATTATATTAATACTAACATAATCTTAACTGGAATCTGGTTCAGATAATCCGTGGAACTCAAACTAACCATCCCTATATTACCAGTGAAATAATTCACACATCTTCATAATAAGTTGATGACATGCAAATTCCTAGGTACTTTTTTCAATTATTTTCAGAAACAACTTTGCCATACCAATAAATAGATCCCACATGGCTAAAAAAAGGATCAAAAAACACGACAAATAACAATTTATAATAACAAAAGTTCTTGCAGTCAATCAAATTAATCTTAACCCTAAAAAGAATTAAGTAAACGTACAAATTGATTGATTGTTGGATGCAGCCATCCTGTTGTTATGGCTTTAACAGTGGCAATGGCTTCCAACCCCCCAGCTGCACCAAGGCAGTGTCCTATCATAGACTGATACAAAATGAAGAACACATACGTCAGTTCTCCGACAACGAAACAATCCAATATAACATTCTGTAATATAGAAGAAAACAGAAAGCTGTCACCCGCATAATAAAGCAACTAGCGTAATAGTACCTTGGTGGCATTAATTTTGATGCCGGAAGTGTCCTTGAAAACCTTCTTAATAGCATTAATCTCTGCCAAGTCGCCAGCAAGAGTGGAAGTTGCATGTGCGTTTATGTAGTTGACCTGAAGAGAAGCAATTAACACACTTTCACTTTGCAAATTTATGGTATGACTGAATCAGAAAAAACATACAAATAACAGACATTAAGACTAACTTCTAAAACTGACAGAAAAACGATGGCATTACAAAATTCGTTTTAATCAGAAAAAACATATAAATAACAGACATTAAGACTAACTTCTAGAACTGACAGAAAAACGATGGCATTACAAAATGCGTTTTAGCTCCATTGGTAGCTTAAGCCCCTCTCTCTTGGAAAATTGAGGCAGTAACTGTGTATTAAAGGATTATTTGTGTAAGTTGCAACTGCTCAGGGCCTTACTTTCAGATACATACTTTGATTTATGTTCTAATAGTTGTGTTTCTCAGACATTCGAACTTGGTATAACTCTAAGAGACACTGAACCAAATCTCAGAAAAAAATTAAGTGCTGAGGTGAACCATAATTAAACATACTGTATATTAATCATTTTATCATTTTGCTACTAAAATCAGTGTAATTCTGTAATATCAGAATCATACCCATGATTACAAGAAAAAAAGATGAATAAAAATTGCAAAATGGAAGACAGCACCAAAAAGAGGTGTTGCAAATTCGCAAGTTAGCCCATTTGAACTCTTAGAAAAACATGTTGAATAACATGCAAAATCATCTTTTATTATATTTGTACATTACTTAAACTCACAAGTTTGAGGCCAGGCCATCAACTTCAGCAAAAGTCTCAAATTCTCCACTTAATATATATATACACACACACACACACATATAACTGTTTTCTCTACTGTGTTATATAGCAAGTGTGTCATATTGGTACGTTTAGGGATAGATACAAGGGCATTGAGAAACAACCCTGCTTAGTGTTCCTGCTGCATTTGCATTATTGGTGCAGGTACAAGGTCCAACAACCTAATAGGTTACCTCTGTAAAACATGACCAACCCCACAATCTGCAACAGGCCTATGACGATCACAACCCCCAGCAAAGATCGTACCCCAACATTGGTGCATTGTAGTTGAACTTAACCTAATTGAAAGTTTAAAATTAGGTCATACGGAAATTGTGGTGGTGTACGTTCTCTCATTCCCTATAGTGCTGACTTGCATTGTGCCTCCCTTCACTAGCTTGGTGGAACTGTGCAAAGTTTGATTAACTCTGAATGTTTGAGTATCCACTTGATTATCCCGTGTGTCTAAGCTGAAATTGTTTACAACTGGGTTCTTTCTGAATTTCAAACTAGTTTTACCTCGCCATATTTTAATGTGGTTGTTTATGAACAATTTTCACTTGTGCTAACATAAATACTTTGATATTTTGGTTTTTTTTATTTAATTGAGTGCTGGATATTCATTATCTGAAAAAAAA